TTGTGTCTTCAGATGCTCACAACTTAATACAGAGGCTTTCTTCTAAATACTGTTCTCATTCTTCCTACAGAGATTCTTCCATTTACGCTATGACAACTCATCTCTAAACTCAGTTTTATGAAGGAAAGACAGGTGGAAGAGAGAACAGACCAGTGACTCGTGTATGGCAATTGGAGAGATGCAAGATGAACACAGCAGCCCAGGGGACAGATAAAGAAAGTGATCAAAGTGAAGCACAAATGCCCAACAGAAATTCCAGCGATACAGATACTTGCCCAGTGGGATAATATTCCCATAATTCTGTTACATGAATCTACACCTAGAGACCATTTCACCCTGTGACATTATACATAGGAAAGTGGCAAATAATAGGCCTGTTATAAGATGCTTCTGATGTGGCTGAAAAGAGAAAACATGAAGTGTAGTTATTTTCACAAGGTCCAACTGTGAACAAGTGGTGTAATCACAAGGGATAAGCTCTGTCCCGCCCTATCCACACTGCATTGTACCCTGGCACCTAAGACTGTCAAGAGCTGCAGGCTTAACAGCTTTTCCTTCCTTTTCCATCTCACACAAACACCTAGAAGGATGCCTTTGTCCTACTGAGCCAACATCATTCTGAAAGCCTCTGAACAAGTGTGAGCAACGGCAAATTACTTTGAGCACTTCTCAGCAATCTTCAAAAGCCTACCAGTGTCTGAGCATTTGAATACACAGCCAGAGTTTGGTAAGTTACCAAGCAAAAACAATGTACACTCATCATACTGAGTGGTTTTGTCTGCTTGGCATCACTGTGCAATCGGGTCAGCAAAAGTCCTGTCCAATGCAGCCTATATTTGTTTCTCTAGGCTTCAGACAACTGGCACTGTAATGCCATTCAAAGCTTAACATGGAAAACACTGGCACATTCACACACTAATCCTCCCCAAACCTAATTACTCAAATGTTGTCTGAAATAACCAACCGAGAAGAGACTACATCCTTTAATACTTAGAAAATTAGAAAAGAACTCACACTACAGAAGTGAAGAGCCAGAGAAGGCATGGTTTTGGGCTAATTGCTTTTGCTGTTCCAGTTGACAGTGCCAAAAGCTCAAGCCTCAATACTAAGAATTGGAGAAAAGTTTATAGTGGCAATCCAAAAACTACAAGTCGCAGATTGACCAATGCTGCCTAATCCAAATAGCAGGTTGCTAATCTGTGCATTTTATAGCATTTGTTCTGTCTGTCCCCAAACATGGAGTACACTAGAAGGAGAATAGGAAACCTAGCAGCATCAGGCAGTAACCCAGAGTGACAGCACAATAGATCAAGTAATTAAAAGGTATAGAAAACTAGAAGTTAGAGGAAGCTAAAACCTTGTGAACAGAGTAACATATTTCACAGAATTCCAAAGAACAGTAGTGGCTTGTAAACTGCTTAAACTCAGGCAAGGAGAAAATTCCAGTGAGGTAAGATTGTAATTAACTTTCTAAAATTGAAATTTTCCTGATTAAGTACCTACCTCTAAGGCTGGTGGGATTTTCTGTTGTTTTGGTTTGAGGTTTCCTTTGGCACATCCATGTATAATCACACATTCAAGTCAGGGCAATCCCAAGCACAAATACAGACTAACTGGAAAAAGGATCAGAAGCAGCCCTGGGGAGAAGAACTTGGGGGTGTCGGTAGATGAAAAACTGAACGTAAGCCAATGATGTGCGCTCCCAGCCCAGAAAGTCAGTCGCATCCTGGGCTGCCTCAAAAGCAGCGTGGCCGGCAGGGCAAGGGAGGTGGTTCTCCCCCTCCGCTCCACTCTCCTGAGAACCCACAAGCAGTACTGCATCCAGCTCTGGGGCCCCATTTTGCACTTTCAAAAGCAGAGGTTTACTGGTAATAAAAAGACTTGCACCTTCATCTGCAGAAATAACATCAAGCTATGAACACAACTAATTAAAGCTTTTTAAATAAGTATTCTTTTTCAATGTAAGCCTGCATTTTCCTGAAATGTAGTTCTGAAAGAAAAATCCTTCCCTGCCTCAGTAAAATGTAGATGCCCTTTTTTTCCTCTAAATGGAGAGAACAAAAACAATAAAGATGGTTAAATACAAAACTGAAAGGTATTTCCATACATTTTAATTAGAAAATTATTTTTAAACCACAAATAGCAGTTGACCACAGGTAAACACTGAACAAAGTGGCACATGGAGAGCAGAAGACTTTTGAATAGAAATACCATCTTCCTGTATTTTAAGTATTATGCCAATGCAAACTAGCTTTTACTTAGCTCAAAGAAAAGGGATGCTGGTTTGACCTCATGTGTGCAACACCATATGCTGCTTGTTAAACCCTTCACGTGGTCATGAGCCAGATGTCCCCATCAATTTCTCAGAAATCCAAGGAACGAACTGCTTCACAGGCCTTGCTGTTCTCCCGCGGATGGGGCCTGGAGCAGAGGAGCAGCCAAAGGAAGGCTGGGGTGACCTGGGACAAGAGCTTCTGCAGCCTCCCAGGGCAGGACTCGGGTTACCCAGCAGCCACGGTGACTTAACCCTAGTGCGGGAACCTCACGTGAACTGCTTACAAGACCTAGCGCGTTCACCCTTCATTTAGGCACCCCTATTAAGAACAGTAATTTACAACAGTCTTCACTGGTGACCAGCAGCACGAGAGAACTGTTATCAGAGGAAGTTTTAACATCCCACAAATGTCCAAGAGATCAGGCAACACTACACCATGCAGAAGACTCCCTTGCTTTAGAAACTAGTCACGACTGAGGGGAAGTTCAACTTCTGCTGCTGGGTATGACATGCTTTAGCTAACACATGATATTCTGGTTAGACGTTGCAAGGAAGATACCTGAAACAACACACAGAAGTTTCTCAACAATTTTATATCCCACAGGTTTGTTTCCTCCAGCTCTACCACACAGGAAAGAACAACCACTGCAGCACGATTTGATAGGAGGCACCCGAACTGACCCTCAGAATCCCTTATAAATATCAGTGTAACAGAAGTGTTGCTCTAGTGCTCTTAAGCAGATCTAAGAAATGGGTAATACCTAAACACCACATCTACTTCCAGTCAACACGAGCAATAACTAAGAGTTACAAGCAACACTTCCTGTTGTAAAACAGTGACCACTAACTGTATCAGTTGACCATGTCTGGAATTAAATCATCATACTTAATCTACATATGCGCAACATTTCTCAGGGAAGATCCTAGTTGCTTCCTCTTCAATAGAGTGGCAGAAATATTTATCTTAGAGAAGATCCTACCTTAGCTAACAATTAATAAGGATTCCCAGGCAAGCATTGTGAAAGGAGTTTTCCACCACTTCTAGACACAAGCAAGTACCCACTCTTTAAAGTGAAATTTTGCAATTGCAAAACATGTTTTAAAACATCTTCTGTCTTTTAACAGCTCTCATTCACTCGCTTAAACATATACTAGACTGCTTCCTTTCTAAATTAAATGGTCTAAAACTTCCATTGAAATTGAAATTTTTAAGGCTTTACCTATTTTATCACAACCTTATAAATATTTTTATATGTAAAGAGTAATAGTCACTATACTTATACTTACTTGTCCTTTTTTTTAGCTATATTACTTTTAGCAGATTGGACTAAGTGTTTCTTATTTTTAAGATTGTTTTGCAGTCAAGTGCAGGAGCTATCTCACATAGGTTAAACTCTTACTCATACCTAGACATTTCACAAAGGTCAGTCATTTAGAGGGATTCATCATTTCTCAAGTTCATTTTTTAATAAGACATTTAAGTTGCATCCTTTCCTCAATGGAGTCACCAAAGAGAAAGGTGAAAACAATTCCGGAATCTGCTAATGCCTTTCAAGGTACTTGGATAACCTCCCATGGACTAACAGTTAAAATACTTTTAATCTCAGTTTGACCTCTGTTTCATATATAACTTCTCAAGTAGATATTTCTTTTCTCAAAGTCAGTCAAACACAGGCGTGCAGTCAAGATCCCATGTTTAACTCAAGCTCAAAACCACCGCAGTGGTTTTCATACTTGCTACAACCACACTGAAGTTTTCCTTTCCAAAGCAAGAATTAGAGTGAAGTTTCTCTTTCATGACAGGCTGACAAGTTCTTTTGTTGTTTTTCTTTTTTTTTTTTAAACTGAAGACACCAGATGCAAATATCTGCTGCTTTCCTATCAATTAAGAAATTGCAACTGCTTTATGTGCATCCCTTCCAACTGCAGCTGAACAAATCAAGAGGTAAGAGGATAAGTCATTGCTCTACTCTTACAGGTCATAGTGAAAAAAAAAGGAAAAAAAAGCAACAGAAAAAGTGCTAAAAAAATCAAGTTAAATTATAATCCTGTGCAATTTATGGATAGGTTTGCATTTGTATTATTGCTGATTTTTTAAAACCACAGTAAGCCAAAATATTTCAAATGTCCTGACAGTTCAAAATACTGAATATGTAGCCACCAATCAATTTAAGTGTTTAATACCAATTTCAAGTTTTACTGCATTTTGAAACTTTTTGCCTAGTCTATCTTTAACACTGAGATCACATCATTTTGGTTGCTATGCAAGATTCTGTTGAAGTTACACTGACAGAACAGCTATCATTATTTAGCGTGAATCTTAGGAATGGCCAGTGAAATAAAGTGTTTAGATTCCTTAACAAACCCTTAAGAACTAGGTTATTGAATTAAGTGTTTAACTGATGGCATTGCATGCCTGCTGTCATATAAGATCTTAAAGAAGTGATATAGAATAGGGTAGTAAAATCACCTTTTCATTCTACTAGTTTTAGACAGTAACTCTGGTGCCACAGGCAGCATGCTTAGAGACACTGATTTAATAAATTTAATTACTTGGTTCATGATAGGTCAAAGTAGCACCTGAATTAGTTAGTTTTGATTACAGGACAAACTCCCATTAGGAACACTGTTTGCTCTTAATGTTCTGTAGTGAGAGGCAGAGTTTTAGAACCTGCAACACACACACACACACACACACACACAAAAACCGTGTTCGTAAATTAACCTTGCACTGCAGCAGCACCTTCTGAATTAGCAGCAGCTTCTGAATTAGCCGCAGCTTCCTGCTGTGCTTCCTCCGCAGCAGGAGATGCATCTGGAGCGGGTAAATCATCCTCCCCTGCGGTTTCTGGGATTACCCCAGGACTCTCATCCTGTGCTGCGGGTCCAGCAGCAGCTACTGCATCAGCCTCTTCTGTGGCTGCCTCTGCTTCAACGACTTCAGCTGCCTCTTCTTCATCACCTTTTAAGGATTTATTTAACACAACAAAGAGAGTAAAGTGCATGCATGCAACACAAATTACCCGACTACTTTTTATCATCACCCTTATTTAAATTTAAAATGGGAAGTTAAGCTTCGGGATCAGAATTTACAAGCAAAGTCAAAAAAAATCAATAATTAATCCTCACCATATGGTCTAATGTGGCACAAAAAAAGATGTTTACAAGATGAAGAAACCATATTCTTAATTACCGAGTATCATAACTGCTTCATTGTAAGAAACGAAAACTGTGGCTTAAAGCAAGTGACTGCAAGAGGTGGGAGTGCACAAAAGGATAGAGAAAGGGCCCCACCAAACGTTGTTCCAAACCCACTCTGCTGAAAGGGCCAGTGACGTGGGTGTCAGAGGGAGCAGCACTCCTGCCCTGTTCACACCCAGCAGTGGAATTACCGCACTGGGAATACGACATTTGCTGTCAGAAGCTCTTACGGCGTTTATTATACACGAGGCTCACAGCTTAGAAAGCCACGATGTGCCTTCCGTTTGCCCAGGACTATTTCCAGGCTGGCTAACTTGGCTGGCAATAGCTACAATAATGCCGAGCCCAACGAGCTATTAGTTCCAAGATGCGGTTTGTGCCATCTCCTTAACTCCATGTACTCTGCTATCCCCATTCACCCTCTCTTTAAAGCTCTCTTGAATGCCCTGAGACTGTCTGCAGTGCAGAATAAGAGACCCTTATCAAAACTAGGTGTCTATAAGTAAGAAAAGAACTGGCTAATTTTAAGTGGTCGGCATTCACCTTACTGGAGATATGACCACTTCTGACTGACTCTTTTCTTTTTACAAGGCCCAGCTGTCATTTAAGACATGTCTACGCTGCTGTGGGTTGGACTCTTTAGAATCTGGAAAACCCACTGGTGTTTCCCAATCATGCATTACTTCAAACTCAGCTAAGACAAGTTAATAAAAACTAACAGCATAAAGCAACAAAGATACGCAGTCACCATGCAAACATGCAACAAGATCAAGTTAACAAATAAAAAAAAAGGTTATATACCAAGTGTTCATTGCAAGTTTACCACTAGAATCAACTCACCACGTGAAAAATCAGAACTGGAAATAAAGTTTGTAATACAGTGTAAACTAAGTGAGAATAGAAAGGAAAGAGCTTAAAGAGACATAGTCAGAATTTACTGTACTCTTTATAACTGTTTAAAAACTAAACAGATCAATTTTAATTCTTGTTTGTCTTATGCTAGTGCAAACCTATCTTTTTGTGTTCAGGTTTCAACACAACTCTATTCATTGCTCAGTAAAAGCCAAAGCTTTGTATTATATAACCTGATCATGTCCCTTTAAGAGAATGCTATATTTCAAAAAAAAACAAAAACAACCAAATACCAACTAAATCGATCACACAAAGAATAGACTAACAGCCAAGCTCAGCATTCAGTACACTTTATTGGACAGTCAAATATAGAGTGCATTCATTCAGAACAGCCAACTTGTCAAACTCAGAACTGCCTTCTACAAAGCAGATTCAGTAATAAGCTCAATATGGTTTGGCCTTGCAAACATAGGTAGTTCTTTTAAAGTCTCACAAGTACGGAGTTTTACAATAGGAGGTCTAAAGTCATCCCAAGGTAGGCTGCAAGGTACTCAATGGTGAACGACTGTCCTTTGTTTGCATTTAACTTCCTCGGGTTTGGAAAGACATTTCCCTTGTATTTTAGTCTGGAAAGTGTAAAAGCAGAGTATAGATTAGAAAGATTGAATCAGCTTGCATCAAGTTAAAAAGAAAAGTCATTGCTAAAAAGGGAGGAAATCGGGAGCAAGTTTAAAGGAGACACATGCAAATGAAAGACACAACTCAGTATTTGCTAAATAAGCAAGCAGAATTTTCTGCAAGGCAAACATCATTTTACAGTTCAAATGATGTCCCAGATTTCCTACTGCTACTTCGAGTCAGGCTTCTGCCAGGGACTTACTTTAATCTCTCTCTAAAGTTTAGAGTAGCTTTCAGTTAAGAGCAGCTACAGAAATGCTGCTATTAGACTTTTTTAAAAGTCTGATATCATTCATTAAAATACCAATAAGTACCATTTCAACCCTTTAATAAACCAACGAGCATAGACTAGCATTTGGTTCTCTTGGTTTGACAGCTTTGTTTGCTACATGCAAGTCTGTAACAGACACTTTGGGTTTGGGCACAAGGGAAGGATTTTCCTCAGGACAGAAACCACAAAAATCATTCTCATCAGAAGAGTCTCTCTCTGATCAGCCGCTCCCTAGTATTAAGTTTTTTCCAACTAGAAAGTTCTTCTCTTACCATTGCACACGTAGCAAATATGCCACAAACGTGCTGCTTGGCATGCTGCCTTTCTATCCCCCACTTGATTTTATGCAACTCTAAAAATTATTACATTTCTTCGAGAACAGAATTTATAATCACTTTTATCAGCAAAGCTTACTGTAGAAAAGTGTAAGGACTAACTGAATCTAAAAAATGTGTGGGAAAAGAAGCTGCAGTGGCACTTCTGGGAGCAGCAATACTAGGGCAACACTCTGTGACAGGATACACACAAAAATACGACTATGCAGGGAAGAGAGGAAAAAAAGCGGGAGGAAGAAAGACATTAATTCTTTTGAGAAAGCACGCAGAGGATTCCATAGGAAAAGAACAGAAACCTCTTCGGGGAGGATACAGTTGGGAACGAAGAAGGATTTCAAAGAGCTGATTCAACAGTAGTCTTGTATCATGAGTTCGAATTAACTACTCACAAGTCCAATTAAAAACTCCAAGTTAAGCATTTATTCAGAAGTCCAATATTGAAAATTATATAGGAAACAAGTGTCAGCTATGTTCCCATGTTTTGGACTTCTTACTATCAATAATAAGGGAGGTAGCAATCCCCCGCCATTGGCTGTGACATTTATGTATGTTACTAAGCAGCACAAGGCGTCAGATAATGGGATGTCTGGAGAGCACCTGGAGTCAGAATTAAGTAAATTACAGAGCACCAAGTGCTCTTACCCCAGTCTCGGGAAACACAGGTGCAGGCTTCAATGGGTCAACAGCACCACTGGCTCTGTAGGTAACCCACTCAAACATTTGGGTAGACTAGGATTAAAGCTCAGTACCTTGCAGAAGTGAACCTTAAGAGAAAAGAGGGAATACACTGGCATCATTCTGAGTGCCCTGGGAGGTTTGCTTAATATTTTCACATCTACCATGTTCTTCTGACTGCCAGTCAGTCATTTCTTTCCTGAAAAGCAGATGACTAGATCATTAGGAAAAAATATCTACTACGGTCCTGGTTGGATTTTTAATTTTAGGGACATAAGAGGATTACATTAAAATTGTGGCCAAATTCTCAGCATTTAAAGAATTAAATTTAAAAACCTATACTACTTCCAGCTGCTTAAGCGAAAGAGAACTAAGGTGATTTGCCATTTTAAATCTTAAATTCTGTAATTTTCAAGTTCCAGGACTAAAGGACACATTGTGGAACTTCAAGGCTAACAGCTTCAAAAAGAATATTTTTAAAGGCAACGTTCACATATTGAAAACAAAATTTAAACTCGGCATACTTTAATCAAATCTACTCTTTGTGTGCATGAAAATACACTAAAATCAGTTCTCCAGCTCTCAACATCTGAAAAAATAAGGAAGGGCTTTGAGTGCTATGGCTTCATTAATTTATTTTTTAAATAATAAGTAAATAAAAATAAAAAGGTCCTTAAGAAGTCAGTTTTTCTAATTGTTTTTCCTAGCAAGGCCACGCTTGCCAAAATTCCATCTTTTATATTAACGCTGCCGTAACACTAATTGATGTAGACAGAGACAACATTCCATTACAAGTATTTGAACTAACATGGTCTAATTATTTAAGCATGAAGAGCTAAGTAAGGATTTGCCATACATTGAGGTGGTGTCTGCTTTTCATTTAATCCTAAATTAAAAAGGAAAAAAAAATCCAAGTTGTGGGACAAGAAATGGGTCCAATTCACAATATTTTTGAAAAACGTAGGGGTTTTCTCCCTACTGAACTATGTTCTCTGATGTCACGTGGCCTGAAGCCCAACTGTTGGCTGAGAAAAAGATATCACCTCCTTCCCCCCCAACAAACAAAAGAACAAAACTGATTTTGACAGCATTATGCATTGAGTCAAGTTTCATTAAGCTTTCCAGTAAATCAAATGCAAATACCCCATATACATTTAATGGTTCACAAATCAACTCCTTCCACCTAGAGAGACTCCTGCAGGTTGATCACCGGCCAGATACACTGCCTAAAAGTTAAGTCCGCTCCTGGAATTTGTACCAAAGTAGCTGTGTAACAGAACACGGCACAACCACCTTTGTCTTTACTCCCACTCACAGAGCTCAGACCAGGACCTGGCCAGGGTTAAGGCCTGATCAGACAATCTAGAAATCTGTTCCAGACCCTCCTGTACCCAGAGAACGAGAAAGAAGAGCTCAACTCACCCCTGCTTGGCCAAGGTTTGTTTTTCCGCCCCTCAGCTCTCTCATGAAGAATGTTCATATGCTCAATATATTTGCTGCGGGATGAACTGACTGTTCTGTAGGCCTGAAAGGAAATTATACCTAAACTTATTGCTACATCCCTAATAAAGTTACAAAATAAAAGGAGAGGAGATAGAGAGGAGAGTTTTTAGGCAAGGGCTACTTCTCAAAAGGCCTATCAAATTATGCTAAGCAAGGTTAAAAAAAGAAAACAAACTGTTTTGCTATATTATTTATACATTTCATTTTCCTCCATTGTTAGAAAGCAAATACAATATACCATGCATACTTTTGAAGTGCTGCAGTGTTTCAGGAATTGAACACGGTATTTTAAAAGAAAATTACAGTCACATTATTTTTTTTTAAAAAAAAAAAGACAGTAAAAAGGTGGCAGCAAGAGAATGTGTTACTCCTACAGACATTCACACAAGTCTGATATTTTGAACAAGCAGAAGCTACTTACCATTCAAGATGATCATTTTGTGGGAGAAAGAAACATATACCCCTCTAGGATGTGCCAGTCACTATCTCAAATCTTTGGGGGGGGCGAAGGAAGCTACGAAATGGAGCCTTTAGGGCAGTGAAGCCGAGTCGGATAGATTTAAACGCAAGCGAGAGGACGACTACCAAAATGCTTGATTAAAGTAAATGCTTACTTAGAAAAAACATGTCACAGTTTTGTAACTAATATTCTTATCTTTCTTTGTACCCCAATCAACGAGGCTCAGAATCTTCCCCTTGCAACTTCAGACAGCTTACTTCACATCAGTCTTCCCCACTTTGGGATATTCTTAGAGTTCAGGGTTGACAAGAAGAGGCGAGGGGTTAGACGCAGGTGCCTTATCTCTATCTTTGGACACAATCATTTCACATAGTTTTACATGTATTTCCCACTAAGGATAACAACAGCACTAGTGGATCAAAGTAACAGTAGAAAAGGGAAGCAATAGGCATTCAGTTTCACTGGTTCCTTTTAAGTAATTTTTAAATTCGACTGCACATTATGCTATGACATCCACGTTCTATTGACAGTTTGCATCTTTACCATATTCTTTAACACATCGTATACCATGCCAACTCAGAAAGCACAAAACAGCTCCACTCCCAAACACTTACATAAAATAAACCACCAACAGCAGCAACACCAGCAAGGAGATAGTAAATCATGTTCTCTCCAGAAGAGCCAGGAACACTCCCAGATGACATCTGGCGAGGAGGTGCTACAAAAACCATTATTTAAATTGATGTAACGTGCTACTTAAATACGATTACAAAATAGAATGACTGACACTGAACTCCATATGGGAAAGGATAACTTAAAGAGATGTAATAAAATAGAAAACTACGGCTTAGTGGTGCTTAGTACAGCCGAGTAGCACGGGGCGTGGTGCCGAAGGGAATATGGCTGAGCTCTTCCTGAGAGTATAGGATTTTCTGTGAACTATGCTGTCTGGCCGTCCGTACTGGATGCAGTCAATATAGACTAAGGAACTACCTAAGAAGTGTTTAAAGAAAAACAACAAAGACCAAAAAACCCTAAAACCGTTCCTGCCTAAGGTATGTAAAAGGCTTAATCTGCCCTTATTCATTCTTGCTGCATTCATGATCAGCAGAGATGACAAATCCTCTTCAGTTTAGCAACAGAGCACATTAAGAAAAAGCTTTTTCCTTTGAATTCACCCTCTTTCACTCCCAAATAGACGGCTGACATTTAGAGACATGCTCATAACCTCAAGTATTGGCCAACAGGGTAGACAGGCAGGATTACAGCATTTTATCCAGTATGTATTCACTGTAATAGCAGACTTATCCATTTAGTGTTGATGCTTGTTATATCCTTAGACTGTATTGTACATCTCAAAAAAGAGGCTTGCAAAAAATGCACACAATTCTGCGTGTCAACGAGGTTTCCAGGTGAATTTTGTCCCAGATGAGAAGCACCTCATTGAGAAGGCGCTCATCAAAAAGAAAAAGCCTCGGAGCACTGCAGTCAGTTGCTACAAAAATAGTCGCAATCTCACAATATTGCCATCGTGTGCCAGACCATGTTTAGCAGCATCTGTCTCATGACACACTTTTCAGCCTCCTCTTCCACAGTCCGGTATCCTAATGCGGATCTTCTCGCATCTACCACATAACCCGTTCTGTAGCAGTTTCTCATGAACACTGTCTTCTCAAAGGCTGCACGTTTGAGGTGGGAGAGCGCTGGGGAAGCCTGCCAGCACCCAGCGCAGCCGGAGCGTTATTTTTTTTTTCCTTTCTGCTACTGGTTACACAATTCCTGATGC